AGGGCAGCCCTGCGCCCGCAGCTCGTCATCGTTAGGCAAGCGCCGTCTGGAAGCCAGCATTTCTAAACCGGTATTTTAAAACAGGTCCGTAATTCTGAGGACTGAATTCCAAAAGACAGTGCTAACTTACAGATATACATATTATTAAAATAGATACTTCTTTAGTATGTAATTTGCCAGGAAAGCTTTTCTATAGGCATAATAAGTTTGGGTTTTAATTGTGCAAAAAGTGTCCATATAGCGGGTGCATATTTGCCTTTAATTTGAAGATTTTAGGAGGATGGCTAGTTAAAAATGAAGCCAAAAAAGGTTTTTCAGCCATTGGCCAGCGAATCTGAAAGTGCCCCCTGGAAGAACAGCTACCCTTGAGTGTAACCCCTGCACAGCAAGGCATTTTCAGGGACCCCAAACTGACAAAATGTATTTCTGTGATCTATGTCCTGTCTCCTGTGAACTCTGATGATACAGGAGAGAGCCGAGTGCTCTGGTATGGGTTCAAAGACATTTGCTGACCACAGGGAAACAGGCACTGCCACCGTCCCATCCCACCACAGGCCCTGGAGGCTGTTGGCCAAACCTCCGCTTGCACCTCTGTGTTTGGGCCCTGCCCTATGCAGCCTCCTCTCACTCCTCTGGGAGTGTGAGTCTCCCAGCTCATTGCTCCAGGCTCTCTTCCAATAATTCATATCTCTTCCCCACTCCCAGCCTGGACCCAGGCTCACCCACCCGCCTACCCTTTCCTCTCACCCCTACTCCCAACTCATGCACCTTGTCCAGCCAGTCCCAGTTGTTTTTCACTTTCTCCAGGCAATAATCAGCAGCTTCCATTGTGCTTCCCCCTCATCTTTGTTTCCTGGGGCTCCTGCATCAGCTTCCTCCTCCTTTTGGTCCCCCAACATCCCTGTGGCCATTTTGGCCAGTCTCCGTGACCAGACTCTCTCGTGCTCCCTTCCACCTCCCGGCCACCAGCAAGGAGCCTTTCCTCACCCAGTCACCCATTTCTTCAGCTCCTCCCTCCGGGACCCTTCCCCTCTCTCCTGCACTTCACCTGGGGAGACTCACCTCCCCTCACCATGCACAGGGGGAAGTGAAAGCATGCTCTCACGTCCCACATCATTAAATTTTAATGGCTAGAATTAAATTTTAATGTTGTGGGATGTGAGAGTTGTAAATTTTGTCTTAAATTTTGGAAGGGAAGCTTCTGTCCAGATGCAGTCTGGCACATGTTCAGCGCGGGTGGACTCTTCAGTGATAGTCATTGTACTCCAGTAAATCTGCGCGGAGCATGTGAATACTTCCCCCCCCCCCCCCCCCAAAAAATATTTTTCTTTATTTTTTTTTTTGGGTTTTTTTGTGTGTATTAAAAGGGGGAGATACTCA